GACTTCACTGTTTGTTCAGGTCCTCGGAGTCCTCAAGCCGCCGCACGGCGGTCACTTTCCCCTATCGATCGCCGCCGGTTGTGCAGAACAAATAATCGATATGATCGATTTGTTTTCAACATCTATGCTTCTAATTCTTATATCGGGTCTTTTGCCATTGGCGGCCGCTGCTAGCAGCGATAAAGGAAACGACAAATGTGGCTACTGTCACTTCCTTGTTGCCACATTTGAAGCGGTTAGTTGAGCCTTCAATAATAGTTTTCACTTCGCAAGAGATTTATGGCAATTCCAATAAGAAAGACAAAATGACAATATAACATGTGTGGTAATATGTCAGTGTAGGGCTCTCTTTCCGCCTCACAGCTGATGGGAGGGCTACATGTGAAACAAATGGGCGTACTTGAAAAAGCACTATGGCTTCTTCGATACTGAAAGTAGAATTTTTCAGCAAGCTCGAACATTATGGGATTCCTTACAATTAGTGAGATTGCGAATTATAAGCCAACTTACGAAAGTCAGTTTTTTACTAGTCCGCTCATTTGCTTCAAATATGTGTGAAATAATACCATGAAATGCATCATGAATTATAACGGGCTTGTGATACAGAAACATTGTGAATGAGTGTTAAAAATTGGCTCGGAGATCAAGATTCTGTGTTGACATAAGTGGTCAAGCATTAAAACAGTTTTGCGCGACGAATATGGAGTAGGAGGGGGCTGTGCTCTGGGTCTCATACACTAAGGATGAGAGCGCTGACAAATTGACTCACTGAGGGTATCCTTCTCGTTAGAACCAGTGACCTGTCCCTACAAGCCTTATCCACAATCTAAATTCTTGTACATGTTTAGCCATTCACTACTTGGAGTTCGTACCCTTCACTTCTTAAGCTTGACAAAATGTTCGTTGCATTGGTCAGGATCACCCTTCCGCACCATTCGAAACTGATTGAGCCGGTCCTCATGGATTCTCACATTCGGATTTAACGTTTATTTTTTTTAAATTACGTCGAAACGTGACTGCCCAAATGGGCCACAGTAATGTTAATCATTGGAGTTGCACATATCTCTGCTTAAGGGTCTCCGGAGAACTGCTCGACATCATTTTGCCGGAGGTGATACAGCTTGGGAGGAGCGGAATTTGGGGAAGTACGCCACGAGGTGATTTTCTTTTCATAGTTGTGTTGCTTTAGTTCTGTTAATTTGCTTTTTCAGTGAGACACGGTTCATAGAGACGATGGAAGATGTGTGTCGGAAAAGTTCTTTGAAAGATACCAGCCAGTTCAGCAGTCTTACGGACTTGGAATCTAAGGTTCAGAAATTTAATTTACAGTTATTCTGTTCCTCCCCTACTTTGACTTCTTTGGGACTCTGCGATAAATATTCATTCTGTTGAAAGACGACCCCCCCCCCCAAATGGATGCGTAGTAATACCACTCTGTTTTTTTCCTATACACCAACTTTTGTGGGCTGCTCTTGCAGTCATTTTTTGTCTCCGGACATTTTTGAGATTAACTGAAAGACCCATTGTGTCTGTTTGGAATGGACTGAATTTGGTTTTATGATGCCGCGCGGTACAGGCACCACTTTTGCCTGCATCATTCTCGCATGGCCCTTCTAAAATGAATTGGTTTGGAGACGAACAGCATCGGGTACCAAGGAACTGTTGTGGTATCGATTTCAAAGATGGAAGAGCTTCTGCTTGTCCGTCTCCTTCACCTTCTTCTGTTCTTTGGGGCACGACACTTCAAGTATTGACCCCTATCTGTGTCTGGTATTCCTTACAACTCAATTCTTTTAGAGTATAGTGTTGTCAACTTATTCGCTGTCAGTGGTGATAAGGTTGTTAGTTCCATAAGTATTTCTACTGTCAGTCATTCCAGTGCGCTTTTCTTGTGGAGGAGCACGAAGAAGTCATCGAGGAATACTACTACAAACATCAGTCGTCCAACATGACAACCTGGCTATGTGATTCTCGGCTAAAATGTGTGTTTTTCCAATTCATTAGTTGTTTGTTGGAATTTCGGTGTAACTTATCGGCAGGCGATTGTTAACGCCTTCATCATTCATGGAGGGAGCGTGTTTACATGTCACTCTTGCCTTACTCTCGCTTAATTCCGTGAGTGGCAGGTGGAAAAGAATTTTAAATCAAGACAGCGGGCACTCGCTAATTCTTCAACAAGTAGCTGCTGTAACATGCACTAAGAAAGATGTAGTTTGTATTCCCATGGCGGTCCTGTTACACTAGAAACGCTTCCACGTTTTCAGTGTGCTGCCCTGAAGGACAATACGGCAACGATTGTAGCAAGTGTCCAGGACTTGAACAGTCGGGATTGGCATGCTATGGCCATGGGAAGTGCGATGTGGGTTTTCTGTTCCAACTTTTCTTTTGAATTCATTGCCTCTTCATTCCTCTCAAAAACTTGAATGCTATTATTTTCCGTTGACAGCATAACCTTTTTGTTGCTAACAAAAGCCGCTTTTCTATGTCCTCTTGCTGCATTTCTCGCTCCTTCTGCGTTTCTACACTTCGCTGAGTTGTTGGATCCCCTTTTCCACACGTAAATTTTTTTTTCAAAGTCCCCCTGCCATCTTGCGCGCCACCAGCTCACCAGCCCTATGTCATCCATGTTTCTACTTTCCTCAGGATGTGCGAGATGACGTCGATCGAAAACGCGTGTATTACAACATCAGCTGAACTAACTATATATCCTTCGTGATAGAGCGGGCTCATATTAACGAAAATCTTATCTCCTACAATATCCTTGGCACATATTCCCCTGCCATTATCATTTGTTTCTCCTTACCCCTTCCCAGGGTCGAGCACGCCACGAAAGTCGTTGCGAGCTCGACCCACAATTGAAAAACTCATGTTTTTGGCTTGTTTTGTTTGTTAACTGCTGTTTTAACGCCGCAGTTCGCGTTGCGAATGTTTCACAAGAATAAAAAAAAAAAAAAAAAACTGAATACTGGGTTGTGAACAAAGCTTTCGCCCCAGGCGGGACTAGAGCTCATGTTTTTCTCATATTTTCTTTGAAGTCAGCTTCATTTCAAGCAGTCATGTACACAACTGCTCCACACCGCCATAATCAGCGATAGCCTGAATGCCTCCCTTCCAAAATCGACAGGTTTTGAATCAAATCTGTTGAATGCCCTTTTTCATGGGTTGGGGACAATCGGATTCTCTCTTTACTTTTTAACGTGGTAGTTTAGATGGAAACATATATCTTGTCATCCGATTAGAATTGTATTTACTTTTACCAATCTTTTTTACCATCATGTTTTTGTTAATTGAAAGAAGGGGAGGGGGAATAAACTCAACTGACATTTTCCAAATAAGGCTGAGAACAACCTCGCAAACTAAAGTATATTTGGCCGTCTTCTGGTTCACGACGTACAGTTATATTAAGCTTATTATGTGAAATGAACACAAAAACTTGTGAAGAGCCGGGCATGCACGAAAATGAATATAGCTTTGCTCCCACATAGGTTGCCACTAATGTCTGACGTGACCTTGCAAAAGGTGCACTACAACAGGCAGGCAAAAAGTATTTCCCTCCACATTCAAAACGAATTAATTACACGCTGCGAAACCAGATCAAACGAACTCAACTAAATATTAAAGAGCACAATCTAATCTATCAAAAAGTTACGTATCAGCCTTGTACACCGAAGACATCGGATATTTTTCAACGGAAACGTGGTTAACGTTACGAGCTCAACGAGGTCATCGTGATACCATAGACAAGTTACGACATCCCTAAAAGGCTGGTCAAAAGCGGTGTTGCGTCGCAGCTAAGTTTCTCTTAGAAGCTATTCACTAGTTAATCAATTGAAGAAATAATGTTGCAGCTTCAGGCCGGAGCAATTACGGTAAGTTTCGCTGGGCTCGACGATTACGGCAGATGACGTCACATTTTCAAGACGGTTTGAGCAGTGAAGAAAGGCCGGCTTTCGCTTGTGGGGAGGAGGAGGGGGGGGATGGGACACCCAAAGGATATTCTACCGTGAAACATTCATCAACAACGGCATCCAGTGTGACGTCAATTTGACGATGTCAGCCATGGACGAAGTGACTCTTTTTGCCCCCCCCTTCCCCTCTGTAGTTGCTGCGCTGTCGATCAATGTGTTGGTTAGAATTTTAGGGCTGTACATTTTAGGCTATGCCGCCATCTGAGAGTTCTGCTCAACTCATTTGTGCTCTGTAAATCTTAAACCATATTCATCGTAAATTTGTCAGATTCTATTGATTACAAGGGTAGTGCTGTCCTCATGAACGAACACACAACAGGCACTTATTTTGTTATGAATTGCTCTAAAAAACGCAGCATTACAAGAGCTCATATTTATCATCATTTTCCAGGGTGACGGAACTAGGCGTGGAACTGGAAAGTGCAAATGCGACCCCGGTTATTCTGGAAATATGTGTAGACAATGCGCTCTCGATTTTTACGAAAAATCCAGGACAAACAAGTCTGTGGAATGTGAAAGTGATTTTTAAAGACTTATTATTTTTCTTGCATAGGAGGAATAGTGTCTCACTCATGGGTAAAGCGTTCGAATTGCAGAGCAATGAAGGAGATTACCATTTCTCCGGTTACTTGAAAAAAAATATTATGCTAACATTGAACTTGTAGTTCTGCAGAGTGTTTCGAAGCATGCGCCGCTGGATGCACTGGGGCCGGTCCCAAGAATTGTGTTCGATGTCGGAGCGGTTGGACTAGTACTCCTGACGAAGGTTGTGTAGGTGCGGCAGTATTTTTGTTGATAATTATGGTTTTTTACTCACTCTCTGAAGAATAGACGTCAAAGCTTCTCCATCTATTGTTTAGATATAAATGAATGTGAAACTGAAAACAAGTGCTCAAAACCGAATGAGAAATGCACAAATACACCTGGTTCTTTCGAATGTTCATGTGTAGATGGATACAAGAGAGATGGATCAGAATGTGTGCTGGATATAGAAGGTGAGTGGTTTCAATTGCCTTGAAGGTTGGCAACAAGATTGTCTGAGGCATTTCTAAGATATGTTGAATATGTTCTGTCATCTGCTAAGAGCTCTTGAATAGAATTCCACGATTACCAAGCCATCAAATCTTCTCCACTCTCTCGCGTTTTGCTAATTTTTTGTAAGGTCTGAGTTCTAAAGACCATTTCTCATTATGTGTTGTTATGCCAAACCATCAAGTACCAGAATCCAATTTTTTTCGGCTTTCAATAAGCCATCGCACTGTAGCGAAATTTTTCTGCCCAACTGCTGCTTTCTCACCGTTCACCCAACAGAGCTCCAGCGGTTCATATTTGTTGTAAGGTTCGATTTTTAGAGGCCTAAACTGGCAATTAGATGGGATCGTAGTCCTCGTTCCCAGTCAGCATGTTATGGGGGAGAACAACGTGTCGACCAGCAGGCTAATCGCGCGGCGATTGACAGACAGTAAACAATAATTTGAATAAGTCAGTGAAGTGGAAAGAAAAGTTAGGAAATGGCCTATATGCCCCGGAAATCGTGGGTTGCATAATTATGAATCCAAACTAAACGATCATGTTGGCTTTATGTTAAGTCTGCTAGCATTGAGGCTTGCTCTAAGTTGGTGTGATTTTCAGCGAAACCGTACCGTACGCTCATTCCTCCGGACACACTATTGAAGGCAATTTCTATGACGAGTTTGGCAGTTATCATTGCGTTTGTGATCTGGCGGCGTTCAATTCCACTTCTGGTCTTGTCAGGCATTGCCGTTGCGCTGATCATCTACATAGACATGAACGTCAATCCAGAAACAATTCCAGACGATGCGAAGAAATATCTGGGATTGTAGTGATCAGAAAATGGTCTATCCAGAAAGACCTTATTGGATTCATATGGGTATTCGTGATTGTAGCTCAGTGGCTAATGAAGATTTGTATTATTGGGTGTTATGCAGGCCACAGCTGTTCATTTGGTAGAGCAGTTGAGCTATACGTACTTCTCTCTCCAAAGGCCGGATGTTACGATGAATTTGGTGGGGGGGGGGGAATGGGTTTCTTCCGACCTTGTCAACAGTTCCCTCTCGTTTTTGCTTCGATTACGTATCCCTGCACTCAGTTCCAAGCGTAGAAATACCCAGTCTTATCCCCTTACTCGTGCCTTGCAAATGAGTCGTGAGAAGATGTATACAAATTCTGGGGGCGAGCCCAGAAAAGGGCAGAATCGTTCAGACTCCATGAATTGAGGACAATTAATAAATTGACCTTTGACTGGGAGCACTTGGCAATAGGAAATGCTATGATCAACAGCAGTGAGGCACTAGACATGTTGCTACGTTTTATGTTTCAGCTCAAAAGGAGGCTGAAGCTGAAGAAGATGACAAGGACGAGGATGCTGACGAACACCGAGATACTCTGAAAAGTGATGAAGACCAAGATTCTCTGAAAAGTGATGATGACGGATATCCTCTGAAAAGTGAACTGTGATCTCATTATGACCGCGCTATGATTACAAATCAGTGGGAGAAGCGAAGTGCTCATTATATCATACACGTATTAATGTGCTTTATACCAATCCAAATCGTGTTTCTGTGGCAGGTCTCGATCATTAGGTCAATGCTGATGTGATATTTTAATGTTGGCACGTGATGGTGCAAATGTTAATGTGTTGTGTTAATGTTAATTTGTTAGGGCATTATAAATGGCTTTCAGGAAGTGATTACTTAGTATTTTTTCTGGTTAAGTTGGCAGTTAGGATTTGTGTTGCAGCCTGCAACAGTTCTGCACTTATCCATCGGCGTTTATACTTTGTTACAGGAAGAAGAGGAGCGTCCACACACAACCAGTGACGGCGTGCCAAGGAAAAAGTGCCTTCTCTTTTCTTTTTTCTTGGCCGGTCGTAACTTCCGGTGTGTGACCTGCACTCGACGCTCTCCTCGTTTTTAGAAGTGTAGAGCCATGGTTTGGTTTGACGAGAGTTTTTTGGGGTTGTGAAGGAAGCTTGGGAAATAACTGATAGAATGGTGCCGATATCGACCAGCGCTTATCGTTAGATCAAATGACTAACCCTACTACAAATTGTGGCCCAGTTCGAACCAGTACGGTCGAACCAGGATACCAGGTTCAGCAACGGTAGATTATATCCTTTCAAAGAATTGTTACCATTTCTTATCCAGAATAGCAGCCTATAAAGTTGGCAATTTTCTAAAAACGTAGCCTGCAAAAATCGACGCTTGCCCACGTGACATCCTTCATAACTTCGCTTCATACTTTTTGAAAAGCAGCTGTGAGCGATCCATTCAAGTGTATTGTTGCGCGGACTTTTCCAGCTTCACTATCGAATACAATAGGTAACCCATTACTTCCAAATCGCGGGTTTTGGCTGGCCAATCTTGGCGCAGCTTGAAGTTGAACAAAAGGGCTTTGCAGCAGACTTTCGCAAAATTCAATCCATGAGCCGGCATACCGCCTTGCTAAAATTAAATCGTTGCAAGTAATAAAGGTTACAGAGCTCTCTCCAAAATGCTATCTTGAACAGCATTTGCCTCAAGGTTTTACTCCCACACAGGCGAAAATCAACCCAAAGAAGTCTCGGTACCCAGGTTCACTTCATTGTTGAGCTAGAAGGTTGTCTTTTATTTCCACTGTTCCTACTCTGCTGGTTTCTTCGGAACTCCTAGTAATCATTTGTGAATTTTCTCGAGTTAAGGCATGATCGTCCATGGGAAACGAAAAAGCTTCCTCGTTCCAGGACATGCAAGCTCCCTCCGCGGCCCGCGCTCCAAATCTTCGATATTTTTAACTCTGCTCTTCCTCTCACTATCCGAGGGAGCTTGTCGCTTATGGCATTTATAAGCAAGCGCTCCTGCTTTCGATGCGGAACTCTTCGAACCGTTTATCCTGATACTGCTCTGTAGCCAAATTCATTATGGTCTTCCCCAAATTGTGGTGGGTACGCATTTTGACAATATTCTCAGCAATAATTAGGCCTCCATGACCGGTCGACATGAGAAAAAGCACAATGAGTACTGCAATTGAGAGCCGCATGACGTGGTAGCTCTGGCGATACCTTCTTCGTATACGGTAGATGTCGAAAAAAAACCATCGGAGGCTGGAAATCGCACGTTTCGAATTGCCCTTCACCAAATAAAGATCATGAAACCATGATACCATAGAATTATATACAAAAAGCAATGACGCATCTGAAATTCTAGTCA